ACATAGACATAGACATAGACATAGACATAGACATAGACATAGACATAGATATAGACATAGACATAGACATAGACATAGACATAGACATAGATATTGACATATTAAAAGATATAAAAAAATATGCAGATCATGTATATCTCTGCGTATAGAAAGAGAGAATGTGCTTGAACGTTTCATGATGTTGTATCATTTATTCTATTAACAAAACGGATCCATAATGATTATGTTGATCTATATATATGTAGGACGTAGGTGTCTTTCGTTACTACAGGGTGATTATTAACACTACAGGGCGGCACTAAATAAACATAAAAATAAGTATGACTTTATCCTAAATGAAAACATAAAATTCGTCCCCCTCTGTCAATAAAGATTTTGTGCTGGCTTAATATGGATTTTATTATGATGGAAACTGTGCCACTGACATTAGATTAGTGTAAATCCACACTTGGTGGTTTATATTCATGTTAGAGAAACATAAAGAGAACACAGATAAGAGACTGGGTGGTTTATGTTAATGCTAGATTAACATATAGAGAACACAGATAGGACACTTGGTGATTTATATTCATGTTAGAGTAACATATAGAGAACACAGATAGGACACTTGGTGATTTATGCTCATGTTAGGGTAACATATAGAGAACACAGATAAGAGACTTGGTGGTTTATGTTATGTTAGTGTAACATAAAGAGAACACAGATAAGACACTTGGTGATTTATGTTTATGTTAGGGTAACATATAGAGAACACAGATAAGAGACTAGGTGGTTTATGTTCATGTTAAAGTAATATATAGAGAGCACAGATAGGGCACTTGGTGGTTTATGCTCTTGTTAGAGTAACATATAGAGAACACAGATAGGAGACTGGGTGGTTTATGTTCATGTTAGGGTAACATATAGAGAACACAGATAAGAGACTGGGTGGTTTATGTTCATGTTATAGTAACATATAGAGCACACAGATAGGACACTTGGTGATTTATGTTCATGTTAGGGTAACATATAGGTTATACAGATGGGACACTTGGTGGTTTATGTTCTTGTAAGGGTAACGTAGAGATTATACAGATAGGACACTTGGTGGTTTATGTTTATGTTAGGGTAGCATATATAGAACACAGATAGGACACTTGATGGTTTATGTTAATGTTAGGGTGACATATATATTATGAAGAAAGGGCACTTGGTGTTTATGTTCATGTCAGGGTAACATATACAGATTCCATAGATAGGACACTTGCTGGTTTATGTTAATGTCCTGGTAGCATACAGATTCCACAGATAGGACACTTGGTGGTTTATGTTCATGTTAGGGTAGCCTATAGATTATACAGAAAGAGCACTCGGTGGTTTGTGTTCATGTCAGGAAAACATACAGATTCCACAGATAGGACACTTGGTGGTTTATGTTTATGTGAGGGTAGCATATATAGAACACAAATAGGACACTTGATGGTTTATGTTTATGTTAGGGTGACATATATATTATACAGAAAGGGCACTTGGTGTTTATGTTCATTTCAGGGTAACATATACAGATTCCATAGATAGGACACTTGGTGGTTTATGTTAATGTCAGAGTAGCATACAGATTCCACAGATAGGACACTTGGTGGTTTATGTTCATGTTAGGGTAGCATATAGATTATACAGAAAGAACACTTGGTGGTTTGTGTTCATGTCAGGAAAACATACAGATTCCACAGATAGGACACTTGGTGGTTTATGTTTATGTTAGGGTAGCATATAGAGAATACAGATAGGACATTTGGTGGTTTGTGTTTATGTTAGGGTAGCATATAGAGAATACAGATAGGACATTTATTGGTTTAGTTACGGTAACATATGACAATATACATGATTACCTACAAGGGATGAGAAAAGAGTTAAAATCTGCTTATTTTCTTCCTCGTCTTAGCTTAATAAAACTGCACTAGAAATTTGCATGAAGGGTCAGCTGAGATTGCAACAATAATCCCTTTAAATATTGAATCCATATTATCTAAATCCTAATCTAGCCTAGGCCCTCCCTGGAATGTATATATCGTAAAAGGTAAAAGAATTCTACCCCTCCTTGGATAAAACATGCTGGCAATGCCATATAGTCCTAACTTGGTTTAAGTATGGTTAACCCCGGCTTGACCTATCCTCAAAACCAGCCATATTTCAAATATATTTCAAATTTATCAAATATTTCCAATTCTTTGAATTCGAATTCGCAGTTTCTCACATCTTTACCTACGTAAGGGTGGGTCACAAAATATTTATCCAAAATCTTTCGTATTATCATACAGGGTGAGCCAAAGACCATTTTTCCAAATCTTACATAACATTTGACAGGTATTATTCCAAAATTTTATAGATCTGTGAAAGGTTAGGCCACACAGTATTTTTCCAAAATCTTACATAATATCTCTCAGGGTGGGCCACAAAGTATTTTTTCCAAAATCTTACATAATATCTCTCAGGGTGGGCCACAAAGTATTTTTTCCAAAATCTTACATAATATCTCTCAGGGTGGGCCACAAAGTATTTTTTCCAAAATCTTACATAATATCTCTCAGGGTGGGCCACAAAGTATTTTTTCCAAAATCTTACATAATATCTCTCAGGGTGGGCCACAAAGTATTTTTTCCAAAATCTTACATAATATCTCTCAGGGTGGGCCACAAAGTATTTTTTCCAAAATCTTACATAATATCTCTCAGGGTGGGCCACAAAGTATTTTCTCCAAAATCTTACATAATATCTCTCAGGGTGGGCCACAAAGTATTTTCCAAAATCTTACATAATATCTCTCAGGGTGGGCCACAAAGTATTTTTTCCAAAATCTTACATAATATCTCTCAGGGTGGGCCACAAAGTATTTTTTCCAAAATCTTACATAATATCTCTCAGGGTGGGCCACAAAGTATTTTTTCCAAAATCTTACATAATATCTCTCAGGGTGGGCCACAAAGTATTTTTTCCAAAATCTTACATAATATCTCTCAGGGTGGGCCACAAAGTATTTTTTCCAAAATCTTACATAATATCTCTCAGGGTGGGCCACAAAGTATTTTTTCCAAAATCTTACATAATATCTCTCAGGGTGGGCCACAAAGTATTTTCCAAAATCTTACATAATATCTCTCAGGGTGGGCCACAAAGTATTTTTCCAAAATCTGACAGGGTGGGCCACAAAGTATTTTTCCAAAATCTGACATAATATCTGACAGGGTGGGCCACAAAGTATTTTTCCAAAATCTGACATAATATCTGACAGGGTGGGCCACAAACTATTTTTTCCAAAATTTTATATGATACGTTAAAGGGTGAAAGTTACAAACAATATTTGTTATTTTTATTCAATGATTTCTTTGCATTGTCTTTTCAATTGTTTATTTGATAAACGAATAGTTCCATTATTCTATATTCATCTCTACTTTCAAATTTCAATAAAGTGTAAACCAACATTTATTTATCGTTTTCTCTGAAAATAATATTTTATAAATCATGACTTAATAAATAATTAACATAGAATAAATATATAATCTAACATAGGTTTAATAAAAGCAGATACATATATCGAACACCGTTTTATAAATATTTATTGCCAAGTTACGTTGAACATTGAACACAAAAATAGAAATATTGGTGCACAGATATGTATTTCGGATATGATTTTCTTTTCTGTTCATTGTTTCAAAGGTTTTGAAAAGAAAAACTAAATTTTTAAGGTTTCAAAAAAATTAGCAGAAACATTTTTCTTGGACTTTAGGTTCAGGACTAGAAACTAGATCGGGGATATAAATACTAGTACGGGGATATAAATACTAGTACGGGGATATAAATACTGATGAAATTTTATTGAAAAATGAAAAATTTTATGAAATATTTTCTGAACAAGATTTTAATCTAAAGTGCACAACGGCAATTTGAACTGTAAATAAATTTCTGATTTAGGCTGATGATAAATAACATAACATTTATACAAAGAGAACTAGTAAGGCCTTAAAAAGGACTTTAAGTGTAAGCGTATTAAAAAGTGACCCTCCATGCAATGATGGTAATGCCCGATTCACAACAGTACCCTTGAAAGCTTTGTCTGATGAATTATATGGATTAGAAATCAATGTTTATGATTTTGAAAAATTCATTGTTTTCAATACCGTGGGTTCTTTACAAAACTGACTTGCGCATTTCTGCTGCAGGAAAACATACATGAATTGTCAGATTTAAACACTTTTAAGCCTAGAAAAACGACAATATCCTCCACATTATAGATCAAATAAAAATTTCAAGGGTACAGTTCTGAATCGGACATTGCCATCTTTGCATGGAGTGCCGCTTAAAATTACGCTCATAGTCCCTTAAAAAGGACTTGGACTAATTTAAAACAGCTTCTAATACTGTTTATTGTCTAGACTCTGGGTTCTAAGTGACTTAACCCACGGAATGTGAAACTGCAGCGGACTTAGATTATTATTACTCAGATCATTAAACCTCTAATGTGGATAATTATGACAAAACTTAATTAATCTTGGATAATTAAGATTTTAATCAAGTTTCATAACAGTTTTTAATACATGACTCTGGGTGTTTTTCCAGGGGTCAGGATGAAATTTATTCTCTCTTTTCTCCGGGTAGGGTTTAAAGTAAGGACGGAGTTGGATCTCAAATAAAATATAAGTTCTTATATCCTGTTGACTTTAACTATCTGAATCTGAAGGTTAACCATGTACTCTGAGAATTCACAACTTTTTCCTAGTTCAAGATGAGCATTGAGCATGCTTTAAGGCTCATGAATGCACACAGGGTTGGGTTGTATTTGTGCACAAAGTGTGTGTTAAGACCATTAGATGAATGAGCGTACTATGTTCTAATGCGTACTTGTTTGTACAATAAAAGTGTCTGAAAGCCTCTTGATTCGGGTTGAGCGTGTGATGGTGTCAACTCACTTCAACTTTGCAAAAACAGGGTTTGGCACAAAATTATCTCTTTCTTGTATAGAACACGACTATCTGCAAGAATTGAACCTGGCAACCTAAAAGTTTGCACTTTGTGTACTGAATGCACTTATTGAGGAGGCAGCATCTTTTGAATCCTTTTGGAAGCCCAAGGAGGTGAATCTACCCAAGGCTCGAATGGCATGTGCGGCTTTCTGCCAGCGGCGGCGCATAAGGAAACTTTTAAGCTTATCAGTGTTAATCTCCTTATAGTTTCTTTTGTCTTTGCTGCCCTGGCTTAACCAGGGATGCTTCAAGCACTCCAAAGCTTTCATTCGCTTCCGTTGATCTTTCACAAGGAGCTTCAGGATAAAGTCTTTAGCGTCCTCGCTGATGTTATCGAAAGCTTCATCCTCAAAGTCATAGCACATTCCAGTGATGTTGGCAAATGTTTCTACGTCTGAGTCTCCCATGAAGGGAGAAAGACCTGAGAGAAGGACATAACATACTACTCCGACAGACCACATGTCACTTGAAGCTGACACAGGTTCATAGGATATCACCTCCGGGGAAACAAACTCAGGAGTTCCAAATAGAATTCTTACATCTTCACCAGGTTTCAATTTTCTTGTCAGACCAAAGTCAATAATCTTAATTTGATGTGACTTTTTGGACTTGCAAAGAATATTTTCTGGTTTAAGATCCAAATGAACAATATGTTGTTGGTGCATGTATCCAATAGCTGTGGAGATCTGCCTCATAAAGAGAACACAATCTCTTTCTGTCAAAGTAAAGTCATCTGCAACTACTTTTTCAAAGAGCTCTCCTCCGCCAATAAACTCCATTATCATGATAACTTCCCGGGGGTTTTCATATGCAGCTGCAAGCTGAAGAAGTCTGCTGTGGTCCAAACCATTCATTATAGAAATTTCTTCTTTGCATTTGTCCCTCTCCTCCTGTTTCCTGCATCTCACAAACTTGGCAGCAAACAATTCACGAGTAGTGTTATCTCTAACTTTGAACACAACTCCAAACCTACCTCGTCCAAGCTCTTCATATATTTCAAACTTTTCTTTAAAAATGTTTCCATCCTCCAAACTTACTTGATGGTGATCAAACTGGGAATCAAATTCATCTCCATCACTATCGTCCTCATCCTCATCCTCAGTAAGTTCTTCATCATCTATTTTTAAGAAACTCACAGGCTCAGAAACCTTGCCAGGTGAAGATGGTCCATGGATATTCTGAGCTTTAACTCTGAATATGTATTCTCTGTCAATGTCTAGGTTACGAACAATGTATGAAGTAGAGTGACATTTTGAAGTTAAAGTTGTCCAATCTGTAGGTTCAGGGTGTCCAGCTTCTGATGAAATAACCCATGATGACATTTCTACAATATATCCGGTCAACATTGAGCCACCGTCAAATGTGGCACCATACCAGGCCAGGGTTAATCTTAGTGCATCCTTGTCTATAGTAGTGATGTAAGGTCGTCCTCCTGGAGGCTCAGGGGGACCTTCGACACACAGACTAGCGGAAGCAGAATCATTTCCTATCTCGTTTTCTATCTGTATCTCATACTTCCCAGAGTCATCTGCACGTAGGTCTCGAATCACAAGGGTTGATTCCCCCGGATATGTTCTGATCTTTATCCTTTCAGTGTGATTCATCCTTCTTCCCCCCTTGTACCATGCAACTCTGGGTTCAGGATTTCCGAAATAATGTGCCCTTAGATACACAGTTTCCTGCAGACCTGCAGTATAATCTTCAGGACCTTTCATTATTGTTGCTGGGGTAACTGTCTTTATATTTTGTCCAAAATGAAGGGTAGCCATATCCCTGCTTACTTGGTCCATTCCTTCATCAATACTCTCACACCGCCTCACAGGTTTATCAGCCTTGGGTCTGTCCATGCAAACAATTCCGTCAGACTCAGACCGTTTGTTGACTAAATGAGAAAGAAGTTTATTTCTCAGACCAGGCTCTTCGTTGGTGCCTACAAATGCATCAAGGACATGGTGCCGAGCTGAAACTGCTTCCTCAGAATCACTTGAATCAGATAGACAAGGGGATCTGTAGGCTGGAGACTCTGGTAGTTCATGATCCAAACTAGGAACAAGTCTGTCTACCCTCCTGTCAGATATGTCCAAATCATCTAAAGATCTGTCACAAGTGTCCATACTGTCTGGATCTCTTCTACACGATTCTATCTCGTTAGAAGGTACATCATCAATATTCAAATCAGGAATAGGCTGAGTCAAACTGGGCTCTGTGTCAAGTTCAGGGGTACTGTGTATCAACACAGGACCTAGAGGGGGTAGGGCTTCCTTTTCTTTATTAATGGTCTCTCCTGGGCAGCTAACCAGGTCAGTAAATGAATCATCAGTGTGAATTATGGTTGTATTCTGAATAGAGTTTATTGACTCGTTTTGACAGTTAAGATCTAGATCTTTTTCACAAGGTTCAGGACTAGGAACTAAATCAGCAGAACCAGAAAATAAAGGCCCCCTGTTGTGGGTATCTTTAGAATTCATTTGCAATGAATCATTCTTTGAATGCAGGGAATGCAAAACACTTTCACTTGGCCTATCTTTATTGATCCAAGGCTCTGAATTATCACTATCAGTACACATTGAATGAACTTCCTGTGTTCTTGCTTTCGGTTTGCGCTTCTGTGCATCCTCTTGCAGGAAAACATTTTGACTTATTTTAACTTTTGGCAAGGGCTCCGTCAGTTTTCTTGCTCCATCAACTGTCCTTGTTCCATGTTCATTATTTTCAAGTTTCTTTTCAAACTTCTTGCGAGCCAGGCTGACAGATGAGTCAGACTTTTCAATAGGTTTGTGCAACATTGGTCTCTTCTCTAATGAACTATTCTTAATTGTAATGTTTTTCTGTTTTTGTATGACCGGACCAGGGGGCTCAGAGGTATTTTTGTGTGGTTCAGCATCCATGTTGGCAACCTCTATAAGAGTTGGAGTACCACCAGTATTCTTTCCTGGTTTTGTGATACTTGTCTTTTTACTAGTTGATCCTCCTCTCTCCTTGTCAACTGTTGACGTCTTTTTCTGAGATTCTTGACTTACACGAGGTGTCTTCTCATCTGTCGTCTTCTTTGTTAAACTTGGGTTTTTGTTAACAGACACCGACTTTTTATGCATTGTTGGACCTGGTGAGGAATTTGTCGAAGCCTGAATACCAGATTTATGGTTCTCAATAGGTTTGAAATTCCTGGCTTCCTTCTTTATGTCTACCTCCTTTACCGAAGATGAAGGCTTCTTTTGTATGGATGTACAATTCTTTGACGGGACTTTTTGTGCCTGACTCTGGATTGACCCGACTGACAGATCACATGTGCTGGGTTTAGAGTTTGGAGCTGATGTGCTCATTTTTGCACGATCCCCCGAAATAATAGGCCTGGGATTGTTGGGATTACCCCCGCTATTCTTAGTTCCCGCCCCGCCCGACTTTTTCTTCAACTCATTCCCAGTCCCCATAATTTTCTTAGTGTTCTGAGTTTGTTCTGTGTGGGGGTGTTCTGACGCAGATACTTCTTCCTTGTTGATTCCTGCCGTAGATTTGAATGATGAATCTTGCTTAATATTGATATCCTGAGGGCCGCCATTAGCCGAATCTGGCACCTCATTAGATGATGGATACCCAGGGCTACAACAACCAGACAGGGAGGAGGACCTAAACATAGAACATACAGTGTGTACACTCGGGCATTTTTATAATAATTTTTGGTTGGCATGGATGGGGGGGTGGAGGGGGGGGGGGTTGAAGAATATACAATATACATAATGCCTACTAAACTAACACTGGTTTGGCAGTTACACAATGCAAGGCTAAGCCAAGGATGGAAGCCCAAGCATAAAATATTTTGAATTAAACATCTCCAAGTTTATTTTATGCAAATTAGAAGTATTAAAAATGGAATGCATCAGAGAGTTAAAATCATATTTAGAAAACTACACGGACAAATAACGTAAAGAATATGATTTTAGTTATGGACAGAAGTTGGAATGTGTTAGTTGATCTAAAGGGGATCTCGTCATGAACAAAGGAATTGAGTTCTTACCACAAACACTGATTTTCTAGTCCCAATATCTTTGCAACAAGATGTTGTAGACCTTTGATATTTTATGATTAACATAATAATTTAAATAAAACATAAAATAAGTTTTGCCAAAACATGCTTTTTTGAGATCTTTTTTTCCATTTGTGAACATCACTCTCATTCATTATATTTTACTTACTGAAGGGCCCGTGGAAAAAAATTTAAAAAATCGAAATCCATGAGTGTCCACAAAAAAATTCAGCCCAATCGGTCCAGTCGTTTGGTCGGCTATACGCAATATATATATATATACGAATGTCTTGTTTTATTATATTTTATTTATTTCCTTAGTCTTTTTAAACAAATTTTATATTGGGTAACCAGGATCTAGATTTAAGTATCCACCTTTTTCCATTCATTCTGGTTTTGCGGCCACTTCTAAAAAAGGATTGAACAAATTCGATACCAATTCTAATTTATCTACATAAATACATTGAGTTTACTTGACAAAAAGAGACGATATATATCGAGGTGAAAGAACATAAGTTGTATTTGGATTGGGTTTGGCATATAATTGAGACTTTTTATTCTTCTCATTCTGTATTTGGAGTCCTATTGGAGACATTCAACTCCACGATATATATATACATAAATAACAAGCCAAACATATAAATTAGGCAGGGTCTTTCAGAGTTCTTAGGACAACTATGGAAGTAAATATATCAAAGAAATTGATCACCTCAAACTATAAGTTTCTAATCCTTATATCTTTGAAACCTGATGTAGTCAGACTTTCGATTTCAAACTACAAAGACAAAGCTGAAATATTAAAGGTGTTCACCAGCAGGTTTTAAAGATAGAAAGGTTTTTTTTTCGCAGCAAGGAGTAATCTGTAATCTCGTTAAATTTATTCAAAACCTTCAAGTAATCCCTGAGATATGTTGGTTTCATTCCAATCACCAATATTTTTTCAACATTAACTTTTTAAATTAGGTAGAAAATACCCTTTTTTAACCATCTATAGCAAACATTACAGTACAATTACAGACAGATGTAAGGACAACCGGAATAGTATATATATATATTTTTTTAGTTTTTGTTTGTTTGTTAAGATGTGTCACCATAACTCCTGAACCGATTTGCCTCAAATTTATACAATTTATATTCAAGTGGGTCAACTTATTCAAGGAATCATAATTTAAGACCAAGCGCGGGTAAACGGCGTGAGTAACTATGAGTACCCTGGGCAACGTTGGGTTCTCAAGCTAGTATATAAATAAAACAAAATCTTCTTTTTCCAACATCACCCAACCAGCCCATTTACCCAGAATTATTTAAATCTCAAACGTAGATGGGTTGGGTTCATTTACAGTAAACCTTTGTTTTTAACCTAGCTACGGTTTAGATATTACGGCCCCGGTATTCTAGTATTCTAGTATTCTAGTATTCTAGTATTCTAGTATTCTAATATTCTAGTATTCTAGTATTCTAGTATTCTAGTCAAGACAACTCATTCACAATTACTGGTATTTAATATTTGGGGAGTTCATTCATAACATTTAACGACACAATCCAGGAGTGTAAACTTTTTTTTTTTAAATTGGTTAGTAAGGTGTTCATAAAAAATGGTCGGCGTTAATGCCAATACAATGAAAACGACTTTTTATTCAAGTTTTTTCAAGATTCAAGATTTTTTCTAATTCAAAGTTTACAAGTAAACAAAGAGAAGCTGTTATTTGATTGCTTTGCTTTGTTTCCATGCATTATGTTAAAAAATAAAATTAAAATCGAAAGTCGTCTTCATTGTACGATGACGACTGTATGCAAATTTTCGAATTAAGGCCTAAGGGGTATTGGTGAAGGCGGTAGGAATGTGGTGAGGAGGTAGCTGGAAGGGTAGGAGGGGTTCAAAATGGGGGTGTTGGGTGTTGGGGAGGTATTACCTGGATGATATGGGAGTAGGAGAGTTGGGTCCAGTATCTGTTAAATCTGCTTCGGGAGTTATTGGTCGGGGAGTAGATGATCGAGATCTAGCATCAGACCGTCCTAATAATAATAATAATAATAATAAAAAACTAAAAGTAGGTTTGGATGCCGGGTAGGTTCCCCAGCCCTACTAAAAGTAGGAATGTATGCCGGGTGGGTTCCCCAGCCCTACTAAAAGTAGGTATGTATGCCGGATGGGTTCCCCAGCCCTACTAAAAGTAGGTATGTATGCCAGGTAGGTTCCCCGACCCTACTAATGGTAGGTTTGGATGCCGGGTAGGTTCCCCAGCCCTACTTAAAGTAGGTATGTATGCCGGGTGGGTTCCCCAACCCTACTAAAAGTAGGTATGTATGCCGGGTGGGTTCCCCAGCCCTACTAAAAGTAGGTATGTATGCCGGGTGGGTTGGCCTCCTATTTGTAAGGTACTAAATGGTCCTTTTTACCCAGGGTTTTGTTCCTTCCATATCCTTACTAGTACTGCGGGCCAAATCTTTTTCATTTTCTTTATGATAATTATTTACATATTTTACTAATATAACATTCCTCCTTTCCCCCCCCCCCCCTCTTTCCCTTCTCCTTTCTCTTTACCCCCTTTTTTCTTCACCTTGTAATACAAATTTAATTTTTTACAACCTTCACTCTACTCTTTTTCCTAACGTTATTCTAGGGTAGTTTTAAAAATATATTGATTTAATAATTTGATTTAAATTTTTTAGAGCATCGTGCAAACTTCACGGTTTGTTGCGAATAAAATATTCTAACTGTCAATTATCAAAAATATAATTTTCCAAATGAAGTGAAAATTCTCCCCGACATCAAATTTGCTTAATTCTAAATCTTTGCAACCTGACGGTAAAACATTTAATAACTATTTACTAACAAACTTAAATATTAAAGGTTTACAAAAATCCCATTGCAAAGATTCAGAGATTTTAGAAAACTAAAACTGGCATAAACGAGTGTTCAGGCCCTTTTAAGCAAGGTCGAGGGTTTTAACCCTATCTCTGCTGTGGTGCTTGAAAACCAGGATATGCTGGGGGGCTAAATCCCATGTTTGATGTCCAAATATGACAAATGATACATCATTGGAAAGCTCTTGTGCTCTACTTTTAGAAATTTGCAAAAATTGATTTTTTATCGCAAAATCCAGTTATATAGTAAAAATGTTTGCAAAAAAATTTGTCCAAAAAATGAAAAACTATACATTTTTGAAAAGCCCTTAACCATGCCATTTTAAATATGCAAACATTTCTGCAAAATTTTGAATAACCTGATTTTTAATCAAGAAAAACTAAAAATGTGCAAATTTCCTTTGACAGGTTGTTTGCAAAAAATTTGCAATTTTTTTCTCGCAAAACTTGTGCAATTCGTTTTCTTATGTCAAAGGCTTTCCAAAAGGCTAAATTTTATCAAAATCTGAGAAGTGGAAGTGGGTCAAAACATAGATTTATTTTGTTACAGGAAAAAACAGTCATTCAGGCAGTGTGCCTGAAGACTCAGGCAGTTAGTATTAAAGCCCGGTTTTAGGCCTAAAGGGAGGGCTTTGGGTATGTAGGAAAAGTCAGAAAATTTCAACAGCCTCAGACCAATGCTTTTTGAGTTATGTAAAAAAAACTACAGGGGGGGGTCAAATAGGCCCCCCCCCCCCCCCCAGCAGGAATAGGGTTAATCAAATGTGCGCTTCAACCTCTGATTATAATGAAATGATAATGAAAAAGATATCCATGGATAAGTTTTTAAACAGGCAATTGGAATGAGGGATGAAGGGGGGGGGAAATTTAGAGAAAATAATTTATGAAGCAATTGTTGGACCAGCCTGATATAATAGTTAACATATATCAAATTAGTTGACAAAAATTCAAGTCATGGTGGACAATCTGGACATTCGAGATTCTTTCAACAATATTTTATATTATCTGATAAAAGATTTTTTACTGGTTTTCATCATGTATACTGTTAAAAAAACAGCTGTGTACATTAGGGGGACGCTGAACAAATGAAAGGGGGGTTTTAAAGGGCTCTCAACCTAATTTCAACCGAACCTCAATTCATAGCGATACGTTCTTATAATTCACAACGGTGCCTTTTGGTTTTACTTTATAGGATTTACCCATTAGGAAGATATCTTCGTTTTTTGTCTTGCAAAGATTTTTTAAAAGTTTTGTCATTGTCTCTTCTGCATATATAGACAAGTTTTTTTACAAAATAAACCATAAATTATATTGAAAACACAATTTATATTGAAAAACCCGAATAAATTAAACATTTCAAATCGTCAAAGGTTTAAAGGGCACGGGCAGCCGTAGTATATTTGAATTTCCGAGCCGGGTCAACCTTTCCGGTCCCAGTTTGTACTGTACCTAGCTCTATGGACAGGACTAGCCGGTGCAACAAGGTTGACGCGGTCAGACTTTATGCTTCATATAGGTTGAATTTACTTTTATTAAAGGGGCAGAGGTGCGTGAGGGTACCTTTCTATGAACCATACATGTCAACTCTTAAAATGAAGAGTCAACTAAAATTATGTTGATTGTCTCTTTAAACAAGGATAAAATGTTAACAAATAGTAGATTAAAGGGACTGTACGCGTAATTTCAAGGACCTTCTATTTAAAGAGGACTATCCCTGATTCAGAACGCTAAACACTTTGTTTGCAAGCTTATATATCTTTAAGAAATATCATTGCCTTTTTTCATTGAGGGTCACTTGAAATTACGCTTACAGTCCCTTTAACATGTATTGCTTTAATTCTGTTCCAATCTGTCCTAATTAGGCTCAGGATTGAGCCTTGATTACACGCTCAGAATAAAATGAAATGTCATGAAGCATGTGAAAATACATACTGATACATTCAGTTCTAATTCTTAGATGCTCATGATGCATTCAGTTCTAATTTATAGAGGCTGTGATACATTCAGTTCTAATTTATAGAGGCTGTGATACATTCAAATCTAATTTATAGATGCTGTGATACATTCAGTTTAATTTATAGAGGCTGTGATACATTCAGTTCTAATTTATAGATGCTGTGATACATTCAGTTCTAAGTTATAGAGGCTGTGATACATTCAGTTCTAATTTATAGATGCTGTGATACATTCAGTTCTAATTTATAGAGGCTGCGATACATTCAGTTCTAATTTATAGATGCTGCGATACATTCAGTTCTAATTTATAGATGCTGTGATACATTCAGTTCTAATTTATAGATGCTGAGATACATTCAGTTCTAATTTATAGATGCTTTGATACATAGAAATCCAATATATAGATACTGTGATACATTCAGTTCTAATTTATAGATATTGTGATGCATTCAGTTCTAATTTCATAGATGCTGTGATACATAATGTTCTAATTTATAGATGCTTTGATACATAGAGCTCCAATTTATAGATGCAATGATACAATAAATTCTAATTTATAGATGCTGTGGTACATTCAGCTACAAGATATAGATTGTATGATACATTGAGCTCCAATATTTAGATGCTGTAAAACATTGAGTTCCAATATATAGATGCTGTGATACATTGAGCTCCAATATATAGATGCTGTGATACATTGAGCTCCAATATTTAGATGCTGTAAAACATTGAGTTCCAATATATAGATGCTTTGATACATTGAGCTCCAATATATAGATACTGTGATACATTGAGCTCCAAAATAGATACTGCGATACACTGAGCTCCAATGTACAGATTATATGATATTTGAGCTCCAATATATAGATGCTGTGATACATTTAGCTCCAATTTATAGATGCTGTGATAGATTCAGATCCAATATATAGATGCTGTGATAGATTCAGCTCCAATATATAGATGCTGTGATACATTGAGTTCCAATATATAGATGCTGTGATACATTGAGCTCCAATATATAGATGCTGTGATACAGTGAGTTCCAATATATAGATGCTGTGATACATTGAGCTCCAATATATAGATGAGCTATGATACAGTGAGTTCCATTATATAGATGCTGTGATACAGTGAGTTCCAATATATAGATGGTGTGATATATTGAGCTCCAATATAGATGCTGTGATACACTGAGCTCCAATATATAGATGCTGTGATACATTCAGCTCCAATGAATAGATGCTGTGATACATTAATTTACAATATATAGATGCTGTGATACATTCAGCTCCAATAAATAGATGCTGTGATACATTAATTTACAATATATAGATGCTTTGATACATTGATATTAATATACAGTCAATAATTGAATAATTACCCATGAAGTAGTAGACCTAGGTTCTATACATATTTTTATCGTTTTATTAAATACTATATATTATATAAGTAAATATATATATAAATCAACCCATAATATATTATAAATCACAACCGGCCTTGCCCTCTATCTTTCTATGACAAATAATGGAAAGAGAGGGGTTGTCTTTTTATTCAAAAAAGCATTCCAAGATTAAAGGAGTTGAGCTTTTGCCACAAACTCTGATTTTCTAATCTCTATATCTTTGTAACCCAATGTCGTAGACCTTAGATATTTCAAACTATTAATACTTATAGATAAAATAATCTAAGTTTGAAATATCAAAGGTTTGCACCATCAGGTTGCAAAGATATTGGGATAAGAAGATTTGAGTTTGTGGCAAAAACTCAATTCCTTTGTTTGATTACAACAATAAACGCCGATGGGATTAAGGACAATTTGTCAATTAATTCAAATCCACTGCTAAGAAAATTCATTTTTAAGACTTGGTCGACGTTAAAGTGTCGCAACGCCTGTATGGCCTCTGACTTTTTTGTAACCCGAGACATTTGATACAGCGACATGAACAAGCGACACAGCGTAAACAGTTCACTCAATAAGTGATATATAAGTAACTATTAAAACTATTTGCTTTGTAAGAACATCAAATACACTTAGTTATTTCGTCAATGCGTCTAATCCTATGCCTCAGTTCTCTGGTTATCACTGTAGTAAAACTGTGAAATAATTGTGATTTTCTCTATTCCTTTTTGGTATGAAAAGTGTTACAAAGCACATAGATTTGGCCTGCTTATAAAAAGTCTCATCAATTTTTAAGACAGGGTCGACTTTGAAGCGTCGCAATGGCTTTGATTTTACCGCTCTAACTCACATACTTTCTGTAGTCCTTTACATGTACATTTTAGCACTATAACGCACTTGTTATTAACTCACTATTATGCCGAGTCCATTAGCGCCTGATCCAATCAGAGTTCAGCTATGTGTTTGGGGTCTATTCTGAACCAATAGAAATTGCATGGCGGTAACATCTATCTTTCTATCTAGCTCATTATTCAATTAGAGATAAATCCTTATATCGGCGCTATAACAATAAATGGAAATATTTACTTCTACTGAAACTATAGCTTAAGGTTTTAAAAAGTAATTGGAAAAATTTTCATTGATTTTTGCTTGAGAGTGTAAGACCTTTAAATCACAGTGAAAAAATGGTTAAATCTGTTTAAATGTTAAAATAGAAATATATTAATTACAAATAAAAAGATACATTGAAGACGACATTAATTCTACTGTTTTCAAATTATCCCTGTAAAGTAGAGGTTATAAATGCATTATAGTTATTGCTTGATGTTGAACAAAATGAAAATAAAACTGTTACGATGTTGGATCAGGGTGTAAACTCGTAAATCAATCCTTGTAAACCAATTTTATGATTTCACGCCATAATTTCAGCTGATATGCAAAAACAACCTGATTTATGAGAGAGTTTAAAAATAAGATTTATATGTACAGACAAGTATATATAATGTACGTATTTAAAGGTGTACAGTACTTGTATGTCGGAACGTTGGTACAATACAATTAGGACTAGGATTTCCAGTTTCGCGTTTTTGCACGAAATTTCGCATTATTTTCGTATCAATACGAAACCAGGTTTGCACAAAATTGCGCGTTCATTCGAAATAAATGTTTTATTTTTGCACGTCTTCCGTATGAATACAAAAATAAGTTGTTTCATGACATATTGCACAAATCTTGTGAATTAGCTTTCGTAAAAAACTTACTTTAATAAATTTTTTTATGATAAATATGTTTTGAAAAAACGCTGGAAAGGTTCCACTGGATGTGCGTCTCATCTATGTATTAAAGGGAGTGTTCGCGAAAAATGAAATGGGGTATAGGCTTGCGGCGAAAAATAAGCGCTTTTGATCGCTACTAATCTTACTTCTATCTGTTTCGTCAATAAGGAGAAAATTGTTAAAAACGACTCATGCTGAAGAATGTAGCTTCCATACAAACTCAGAAAGTTGCAACATTCAACTCGGATCGTAAAATAATCAATTTAATTCCAAATCAAATCATTCAGATATTACAACCAATCATCATCGATAATTTTTCGACGCATTCGTATAAAGTTGATAATTCATTTATTACACTAAATCTTACCCTAATTTCATGAGATGGCAACTTTACCCGTAAAAGTTTTGTCTGGTCAAGTTTAAAAATGATTAAAAAACTGATTATATTTTCGATTGGGATTGGGGGAAAACATAGAAATTATTAGAACTGAACACCTTCAAACGTTTGTAGAAAAACGGTAATATCTTCCACATTATATTGATCATGCAGATAAAGATGGCAAGGGTACCGTTGTGAATCGTGTAATGCCCTCGGAGGGTCACTTAAAATTATGCTGACAATCCCTTTAAGCATTGATTGGAATTGATTTCCATTTTAACCTATACTAATGGTTATATACTTTCCGTGTTTTGGTTGAGTATTACACTAAAATGTATCTAATATTTTATTTTTATCTTTTTTATAATTACCTGCTCTTGATTTCGCATCAGTTGTTGCTTCCAACTCAAACCTGAAATAGAAATTAATTTGAAAAATTATAAAAATAACAAAATAAAAAATAAAACACATTTTTTGAAGTTCTCTATTTATAGCATATATATTTTGTACCACAGCAAACGTTTATAAACAGAACCTCCAGGTTAAAATATTTGAAATTTTCGAAACAATTTGTCTTTGAATGAACACAATAAATTAAGATTATGGTAGTTGAGCTAACCATACCTAGTCAAACCACTTCTTCCTTTTTATTAAATCCGACCTCTGGCCCTTTAAAAATATTACGTGTAGGTTTTTAGATTTTTAGGTGTGAAGGTGTGCGTGTTAGAAGGGTTTAGGTTATCTCTTAATTAAGGTAGGATTAGGGTTCTGATTTATCTAAACCTGTCCTAGGATAATGATGATGCAGTTATAACAGCTGTACATTATATGTATACAGAAGGGTGGGTTACAGTACACTGATAGCTGTACATTATATGTAAAGCAGGGCAGTTCACAATGCGCAGCTCGCTGTACATCAAAATAGAGTACAGCAAGAGAAAGGTTATAACTGCTAGATGTAAATTATATATTAAGCAGGGTGGTTTCATTTACAAAAAAAGCTACATGTACATTGAAAAATACAATTTTAGACTTTAAAATGTTTTCTCAGTATAATTATGCAAAGCATTTAATATTCATACATATTTACACCCTAGCATGCTTAAAACATACATTACATACCCTTTCAAGTATTCCTCAGTTAATTTATGTATATTATTCCATCATGTTTAGTCTGGGTTAAGTATGTGTGTGCATGGTATGGTTTAAGTTTAATCTAAATTTAATCTTGAAAAGAATTCTCTGATAAATGACTTGGGTAGCTTATGTATAAAGCAAGATTAAGATGCAGTGTTGTATCCTTTTATCCGTTCACATCCCTTCCCTTCCCATCCCTTCCCATCCCTTCCCATCCACTTCCCATCCACAGATTTGGTGTAGCAAGGTTAAAGATCTATCTGAAGAAGAATTTATGAGACATATAGACAGTAGACACCCTCTCTTATGATTAATATAAATATATATCACCCGACCTTGTGCAATCAGCTCTCTGCCAAGTGTGAAATTAAAACCCGACCCACGCTTTCATTAAACAATTATTAAAAAATTGCTTTAATTGATTCACAAATATGCACTTAATAGTCAATACAAAGGGCTAAGATGAATTTATTATGAATTCTCTAAAAATGTTGACAATTAACGGCTCTCATATGACTTAAAGTCGTTGAGAATTTCTTCAGGAAAACATGAATAGCTATAAATTCCAAGAGAGTTTAACAAAGTTTTATAGCCTTTTTATATGTCTTTTATAGAAAACCACAATTAAATATTAACAAATTTTCATCTGGTAAAACAAGAATAACTTGCTCAAACAGTTTTACTCAGACAAAACTTTAAAGAGTAGTGTTGTAAATTGAGCGTGCAACTTTTAAAATGAAGGGTCAATTAAAATGACGCGGACAGTCCCTTGAATTGTTTATCTAGTTATAAGTTTGAATGATGTAAATACTGTTGACTAAAAACCAGATTAGTTGAGGGAGGGGTCGAGACTAGTTTAGCTCTTGCGACAGTTTTTGTGAATTCTATTTTGAAACCACCCTGGTCGAATTTTGCAGTAAGTCACGTGGTTTAAAATTCCTGAGTAAAGGAGGTTTTGAACTTTTAAAATCATTTATTCAATTTTGATGGACTTTATCACACCGTTGTAGGGTGATTAAGTGACTTTATCGCCCTACAACTGAGTGAAAAAGTAATTTTTTCACTCTAATATTGTAATTTCAAATTTCATACTTAATTTGTATCATTGAAGGGTGATAAAGTTACTTAATTATCCTACAACAGGGTGATTAAGTAACTTTATCGACCTGCTTTTAAATAATTTGAGCAAAACTGAATAAAACTATTTATGTTATTGAAATGGGTATCATGCGTGCGAAACAGATTTTGCTGTGATTTTTAACTTTTCTAGTTTGTTTTCGATCAAAATGAAAGTAATTTGATCGAAAACAAACTAGAAAAAAATAAAAATCCCGGCAAAAACCTTTTCGCACTTAATAATACCCATTAAATGACATAAATAGATATTTCATAAAGGGTATGTGCATGAAAATAATATTGAGACAAGATTTATCTTTGAAATTCGATTTTTTTTAGAAAGATATTCATGTTTTTCCAGAAATGTTTAATGCATTGTCATAAACCAACCAAATAAAATTAACTTTAGTGCTGTAAAAACAAGTCCCAAAGTACCCCCCCCCCCCCCCCCCTTCAACGCAATAAAAGAAGATAAGAACCTAAATTACTGCATTGCCTTTATGATGGTGTTGGGTTTTCCGTAAACTTTTTACCCCCAACTGTATTCTCATTTAGAGAAGCATTTATCGCTCTAGAAAGAATAAAAAACATTTCTCAGATTTTTTCAATAAAAACGTTAAAGCTAGTTTAGATAAGATTAAAGGGTAAATACACCAAAGTTAGTGCTTAAAGGAACAGTAATCATAATTTCAAAAAGAGTGCCATGCCCGATTCACAACTCACGACGGTGCCCTAAAAAGATTTGTCTGATCAATGACGAATAAAATATCAATATTTTTTTTATTTTCTCTACAAAAGTGACTTGCGAGTCGGGCGTTTTCCTGCAGAAACAATGAAGGAAATAATCAGAATTAAACACTTTGAAACTAGAAAAACGATGATATCATCACATTATTGATAAAATAAAGTATCGTTGTATCGTTGTAAATCGGGTCCGCCATTTATTATGAAACCAAGATTAATTAGTGATTAATGAATTTTAGAAGATGCAAACTTGGGATATAGTTTTTCTGATCTGGGATTAAAACCGGAATTAAATTATGTTTAAAACTGTCAGTGAAACTTAGATTATTCCTAGGAATACAAGACTTGATTAAATGAATATTTAAAGCTGAGATTAAGTAGGATTAAATTATGTTAAAAGCTGGGATTAACCTTGGGATTAAATCATGTTAAAAGCTGGGATTAACCTTGGGATTAAATCATGTTAAAAGCTGGGATTAACCTTGGAATTAAATTATGTTAAAAGCTGGGATTAGCAATGGGATTAAAATATGCTAAAAGCTGGGATTAACCCTGGGATTAAATTATGAAATAATGCTACAGGCCAGATGATTAGCCCTGGGATTAAATTATATTAAAAGCTTGGATTAACCCTGGGATTAAATTATGCTAAAATCTGGGATTAACTCTGGGATTAAATTATGAAATTATGCGACAAACCAGATGATTAGCCCTGGGATTAAATTATATTAAAAGCTTGGATTAACCCTGGGATTGAAATATGCTAAAAGCTGAGATTATTCCTAGGATTAAATTATGTTAAAATCTGGGATCAAATTATGTTAAAATCTGGGATCAAATTATGTTAAAATCTGGGCTTAAATCATGCTCAAAGCTGATTGATCCTGGGATTAAAATATGCTAAAAGCTGGGATTAACCCCAGGATTAAATTATGTTAAGAGTAAAACTATTCATTTCTAATTAATTATAATTACAATGCAGAAGAAGAATGCAAAAGTTCATTTTATTAACAAGGGGAGAGCAGTTAAATTCATCTAATCATCTACAAACATATTTAACTGCAGCATGCCGTATATGCATTAACGGCATGCTGCATACACTTTATATTCAGGGTGTCCAAAGAACGTGACCTTTCTTATTCCGTATCTGGTGTTTCGTAAACTCAATAATAAGAGTTGTCCAGTTAAAACAAGTTTCAACGGAAGGTCTTAGTCTTGGGATTTTTAAAATGAGGACTGCTTTTTTATACCGTCACATATTGACAGAGCAATTAGTACATTTGTCTAGCTTTACATATATCTGAAAACTCAAACTTGTCTAATTTTACAAGCTGTCCGTTTATTTTTCTGCATGCAGGGAAGGCACACATATTAATTTGTATTTGGAAGCATTCTACATAAACTTTAGCAGCATGCAGCATGCTGTTTAGAACTGTTTCCGTGCATACACTACAATGTATATCTAAGAATGTAATAATCCTCATTACCCCCCCCTCCCCCCTCCACCTTCCTAGGGGGCAGATGGACCTAATTGGATTAGAATATTACGCCAATTTGTTACTTGCTACGTACGCAATTACATAGCCTCAGTAATGGCAGATTGATTTTGATAAAGATCAGAGAATAATTCCAATTTTGACCCAGGCACTGAGTAGCTAGTGGCTTGGGGTTGGTTTCTGGATAGTCAGCCTGTATCAAGCTAAGCAGTAGGATTCTAATTAATATCCAGGGGGGGGGGTTGGAATGCAATATAATAGATTGGGACATAGATGTTAGGGGGATGGTTTGGATGGGACATAGGTAGTATGAGGATGGATATGCTGGGACACCATGAATGAGGATGGCTGGGTTGGGACACAGTTTGATAGACGATGGGTAGATTTGGACACATATTATGGACAATTGCTAGGTTGGGAATTTGAGACATGTTTATTTTGGGACGCTGATTAGACAGATAGATAGCTAATTGTGGCTCTCATGAAAGACAGTTTGATAGTTTGGGACACATGTGACATAGAGATATTTTGATTGGGACACAAAAAGAGAAAAAGGAGTGAGTTTAGTATAACTAAAAAATTGAAGGGATATCAGAGAGCATCCATGTGAGATAGATAGAGAGGTAATTAATAACTATGAGATATACCAGTAATTGGTTATTTCAAGGGCACGCCATACCATATTTTATCCCGATGAAGAGGAGAAGGGGAGGGGAGGGGGGCGGGGGATATTTTTAATCTTGCTAAATTCGAAATATGTTCTGAGAAAGAGACACTTTACGAGTTGTCAGTGAAATATTGGCAACATTTTGTCATGTTTAATGTTTTTTAAAATTATATAATGATATTCTAACCATGTAGGCACCATAAATACAGCTTAAGACTGGGGGGGGGGAATAAACCCCAACCCCCTCCCCAC